AGGATCTATCTCCATATTTCCTATTATCTACCTTTATAATCTTCTTTCCATTTAGGATTTCTCATATAAGAGAAACCATATGATATCCTAGCTTATGTGTTTGCTTTATTTCACTTAACATTATGATCTCAAGGTGCACCCATTTTTTTCTACAAATGACTCAAATATATCCTTTATGGCAGTGCAGTACTACTGCATGTGAATACCATATTTTCCTTATCCATAAATCTGTTGATGGATATACAGATCATGTTCAAGATTCAGCTATTAGGAGTTGTGCTGGTGTACACATGAGTATGCGTTTATCTTTAATATGATATCTTTAGCTGTTCTCAGGAAGATACCTAACTTGGGAATAGCTGGGTTGGATGGAATCTCTATTTTTCATTTTTTGAGGAATCTGCATAGTGATTTCTGTACTAGCTCTACATGTTTACACTCCCACTAATAATGCAGAAGGGATCCACACCACCACCACATCCTCACCAACATTTGTTATGATTTGGTTTCTTGATGGTGGCCATTCTTTCTGGAGTAACAATAAAACTTCACTGTTGTTTTAATTTGCATTATCTAATGGCCTGAGACGTTGAACATTTTTTTCATGTATTTATTAGCCATCTGTATTTCTGAGAATCGTCTACTCATTTCAGCTGCTCACATCTTGAATGGATCTTTATTTGGTGGCTCTAAGTTTTTTGAGTTTTATATAGTGTGCTCTAGATATTATTATTCTATTTGTTGAATAGCTGGCAAATATTTTTCCCTTTCTGTAGGTTATCTCTTCCCTCTATTTTCTTTGCTGTGCAGAATTCTTTTTAATTTGGTATGATTTCATTGGTTGATTCTTGCTGGCATTTCTTATGCAGTTAGGGTTCTATTCAGAAAGCCCTTGCCTACACCTATGACTTCGTGAGCTGTACCTATTTTATCTTCCAGCAGATTTGTTTTAACATTGAGATCTTTGACCTATTTTAATTTTAGCCTTCTCCATGGTTAGAGTCGTGGAGATTCAAACTTCTGCATGTGGATAACCAGTTTCCTCAGCATTATTAAAGAGGCTACCTTTCCTTTAGCATATGTGTTTGTGTCCTTTGTTAAAGATCAGAGAGCTGAATGGGCCTGGATTTATATTGGCATTCTATATCCTGTTCCACTGACACACGTCTGTTTCTGTGTCAGTACATGCTGTTTTTATCACTGTAGCTTTGTAATATAACATGAAATCTGGGATTATAATACCTTCTGCCTTGCTCTTGTTGCCCAGGTTAGTTCTGCTATTCTCAGTTTAGTTCTGCTATTCTCAGTCTCTTTTGGCTCCATATAAATTTCAGAATTATTTTTTTCTAGTTCTGTGAGGAATGCTATTGGTATGTTGATTGGGAATACATTAAATCTATGTGTCAGTTGTGGAAGTATGGCCTCTTTGACAAATATTGGTTCCATCTATTCAGAAACAGGATACCTTTCATTCCATTTTCTGATGTTTTCTTTGATCTCTTTTTTTTCACAGTACTAATGTTTTCATTGGAGAGATCATTCAATTCCTCGATTAGGCTAATTCCTATGTAACTTTTCTTGATGCTATTGTGAATGGTAATGTTTTCCTAATGTCTTTCCCTGTGAGTTCATTTCTGTTGGTGAACAGAAACACTACTGATTTTTGTGTGTTGATTTTGTATCCTGCTATAATGCTGAAAATGATTATTAATTTCAGGGGTCTTTCAGTGTCATTTTTTGCAGACCTCTATTAGAGGATCATGTTACCTGCAAATGATAATTAGACTTCTTCTTTTCCTATACATATCACTTTTCTTTCTTTCTCGTCTGACTGCCATGGCTGTTTTGAGTATATCATGTTGAATAGGAGAACTAATAATGAACATCCTTGTCTTATTGCCAAATTTAGAGGAAAAGCTTTTTTTTTTCCATTTAATATGATTTTGGCAGGTTTGTAATAAACAGTTTTATCGGATTGAGATAAGGTCCTTCCATACATATTTTATTTAGGGTTTTTTTATCATGAATGAATGTTAGATTTTGTCAAAGGCTTTTCCTGCACCTTTTGTGATGAACATGTAATTTTTGTCCTTGCTTTTGTTTACTCATTACATTTATTGATTGGTGTATGTTGAACCATCCTTGAACCTCTGGGATAAAAGATACTTGTTCGTGATATGTGATATTTTTGATGATGTGTTGCACTCTGTTGGCTAACATCTTGTTGAGAATTCTTGTGTCTACGTTATTAATACCTTCTCACTGGCTTGAATCACCAGTGGTACATGTATGACTGTCCCATCACTGTGTGGCCTGTACCACAGGTGGTACAAACAGATCTAATCACTTTTATCAATCTTTTAATAAGAAAATTAAAGCAGTGTTCAGCACCCTCAGATTTATAATTGATATCTCTTTCTGCTGAATTGTTCCCTTAACCAATATATTCCCTTTTTTGCTTCTTCTGATCAGTTTTGACTTGAAGGCCACTTTGAAAATAGGATAACTACTTCTGCTAGTCTTTAGTTTCCCATTGCATGGAATTTTGTCTTCCATCCTGTGATTTTTAGTCTATGAATTTCTTTTTTGATTAAATGTATTTCTTTAAATGTACATCACTGGATTTGTTTCTTGATCCATTCTGTCAAGCTATGTCTTTTGATTGGGGAAATGAGACCATTTACATTAAGAATCATTACTAAAATCAGCTACATAATCTTTTTTTTTTTTTTTTTTTTTTTTTAAGACAGGGTCTCCCTAGGCAGTTCAGGCCTAGCAAACTCACTATGTAGCCTAGGCTGGCCTTGAACTCACGGCAATCCTCCTTGATCAGTCTCCTGAGTGCTAAGATTATAGGCATGCACCAAGATGCCTGGCATAATCCTTTTGTTAAGGGTTTATAGGTAGGTATTTTTAAAATAATAAAGAAAAACAATGAATAAAAATTTTTGGATACTTACTACCTCTAATACAGATGTAAAAAGACATGATCAGCAGGGAGCACAAGGTATCTTATTTTTTTGATGTGTATCAAAATGTTTTACTTAAAGGTTTTTAACATTAAAAAAAAGAAGGTACACAACTACAGATTATATTATGAGGACCAAGGAAGTACATTCTACATGATCAAAATCAAGGTAAGTTTATAAAGTTAAAGTACTGGCACTGAGCAAGCATAGTACTTGCTATTTAATCCAGGCTGCAAATGCATAAAATGATCTGACCACAAAGGCTTATGCAAAAGAAATTATTTCCTAGAACACTGAGACACTAACAATTCCATTGTTCAATGTCTTATGCTTCTGGTGGGTATTTTTTTTCAGCTTTAATTGAGTTTATTGGTACATTTTAGGGATACAGTACAGTTACATTCATTGTTGGGATCTTGTACCTCTACATGACAAGTCTTGGTTCTCATTTTTTCCCCTTGTCCCTGCCCTCCATTTACCCCCTCCTCCCTCTGGTGGGTATTTTTAGAGATTTACACATAATATTAAAAAAAGCTGGCATAACACTTAAAGACTGCAAAAAATAGAATACAATTAAAAACATATTTGTAATGTAATTCTGCATAAAATATACACAGTAAATCTTGTTAAAAATGTTTAAACACAAAAGGCCACCACAAATAATGGTTAAAACCTCATCATAGGAAAATGCTTATCATTTTTAAATTATTGAAAGAAAATTGCAAGGTGGTAAGATTTTGTTGGGGTGAAAATGGGTAGTTATCTAATGAAATCATTTATTTAAAATCTGTTCAAAAATGTTCATAAAGTTGTAACTGGCTGCTTAGGTCATCTTAAAATATTTTACCATGAATACAGTTTCTACTATTTCTCAAATTTAGGTCCAAAGGCCCCCCCAAAATTCTAATGTGGTCCCAGTACATTATAAATAACTCCCTATGTGATTATGCGACATTCTGAAATGCTCTATGGGAAAGAGCAACACTTAAAAGAAAGATCATGAATATAAACTATTTTTAACATGTCAGAACTCTCTATAAATGTATGACATAGATATTTCTTTTTGTTTTAAGCAAATTACAGGCATTAACAAAAACATATTATCCTCTCAAATAAACGTGAATATCTATAAGCATTTTCTTTCAAGGTTTCCATTACTTTCAAATTTAGTTATCTAAAGAAAAGACAAGATATGACCACAATCTTTGTAAATGTTAAATGTCTAATGAAGTAGAGTATTAGAAAGAAAAAAAATTCATTAAATGCCTACAAATTTTAAATCATTCCAAATTTAAAACTAGACAGCTTCCCTAAAATTAAATTATACTAAAATTGTACTATTATAATAGACAATCTCAGTTACTTTTCAAGTTTTTTGCATAAAAATGGTGCTAAAATAAATAAGAGGAATGCTACATCTGATAACAATTTAAATAAACTGCTAACAACTAATATTAATTTTAAAAAGTCTTTAGAATTCTGCTCTTGAAATGAATTCTACTATCCTTTTAATATGTGACCCTATTAAACAAAAAACTTAATTAAGGAGATAAAACTATCATATACGTGTTTTCTGTAGATTTATTCAAAATTATTATTTTTTGGATTCCCCTGAAGAATACATAAACTGGGGCCTAAAAGTATAGGTAAAATGGTGTGGAGTGAAGCAAGCACAGTTAAGACATTCTACAAAAAGCACAAATTACCTTCCTGCAGAGTAAATAACATGGAGAAATATTATCTATTATGTCTCCACTTAATATGTGGAACAATGTGTTACAAGCCTGGTTAACAAGTAAGTCCCTCCTCGTTATTTAAGTCGAATCACAAAAAACAACTCTACCAAAAAGTCTTCAATATCCTCTATTATAGACTATATGAATCATGTATTACATCTAAATATAATTTTTAAAAGAAATTAAAATGAGCTTCCATAAAATTATGAAAAGGTTACATCTATCCAGGCTGGTAACAAGTTTCTCCATGCATTCAATGGCAACATAAGCAGAATGCATAGTTGAAAAATGAAGATCAGACCCATTCTTCATACATTGAAAGAGGATTAATATACTCAAAATCTGCAAATTCATATCCATCAATTTTCCTCACAATGTCATTACCATCTGGGGTGACCTGGACAGGTTCATTAGTAAAATGAAGATCAAAGCTGTCCAAATGAAATTCCCCACAAATATTTGGTTTAAAGGGAGGCACCACCTGCTTTTGTCCCTTCATGTGCCAGTTAACATTTCAAAAGAATGGATAAACAAACATTACTGAGACAAAGAAGTAAAAGCAGCAAATAAACATATGAAAAAATGTTCAGCATCACTGGTCATTGACAGATACAGATGAAAACAACACTGAGATTCCACTTCAACCCAGAAACAATGGCTGCTATCAAGACATCAGACAATAACAAATGCTGACAGGGTTATGGGGAGAAAGGAACCCTTCTCCATTGTTGGTGGGAGTGCAGGCTGGTGCAGCCACTATGGAAATCAATATGGAGATAACTCAAAGAACTAGGATTAGAAATCTCATTTAATGCAGCTATTTCCCTGCTCTGTATCTTCCCAAAAGAATTAAAAGAATCATATCACAGCAATATATGGTCACCCATGTTTATAGCACCACAGTTCATAACAGCTAAAATTTGGAAACAGCCCAACTGCCCATCAACTGGAGATTAGATAAAGAAGATGTGGTTTTTCTATAAAATGGAGTACTACTCAACCATAAAGAATGAGAAACTAGAGATTATTTACAGCTAAATGGATGCACATTGAGGCCATAGTCTTAAGAGAATTTAATACGTTACACGTGTAAATACTGAATAGTTTCTCTGGTGTGACAAACTATAGTGTAAATAAGGATCAAAATGAGCTGGGTGTGGTGGCACATGCCTGTAATCCTAGCACTTGGGAGGCTGAGGCAGGAGGATCCCTATGAGTTGAAGACCAACCTGGGCGACACAGTGAGTTCCAGGTCAGTCTCTACATAGTTAGACCCTGTTTAAAAAAACAAAAAAAACAAAAAAACAAAATGTATAATTGATATTGTGTAATAGGGAAAAAAAGTCTAAATGAGTAGAAGAATTGGGCGGGGGAGAGGAAAGGAAAAGGAAAAGAAAAAAATATGTGAAAGGAAAAACATGGAAACATTGTCTTTGTAAACAGGGGAGGGAGTGAAGGGGGTGAAGGGGGGCTGGGAAATGGGGAAAAATAAGCAAAATAAGTCTTGTAAAGGTATAAGATTCCCAATAATAAATGTAACTGTATTGTATACCTAAAAATGTACCAACAAACTTAATAAAGATTATAAAACAGAATGGATGCTTCTGAACATCAGCAAATCCACTTTGAGGATAACAACCCAGTTGTTCCTCTGGGTCCCTGTTCAGAAAACTCTTCAGGACACTTGCAGCTTTTATGGACAGACAATGAGGTACATGAATTTTTCTTTGCAAAATAACTTCCAAGAGATTATTGTTAGACTTTTGGTCAGGGTTGTCAGAGCTCTGAACAAGATGGAATGGAGACTCCCCAACCATCATCTCGTACAGCAGCACTCCAAGAGTCCAACCAGTCCACTCCGAAGCCATACTCTTCCCCTCTTATAATTTCTGGAGCCAGGTAATTAAGAGTGCCACAGAAAGTGCTGATCGTGTCTCCCGGCTCTAAGCCTTCCTTACAAATACAATAATCAGACAGTTTAATGTGCCCTTCTGAGTCCAGTAATAAATTGTCCAGTTTCAAATTTCTGTGCAGTATTCCTCACTGATGGAGATAGTTAAATGCTAGACTGATTTCTGCTGAGTAAAACCTGGCATGTTCTTCAGGAAGTGTTCTTTGTTGCTGCATGTGAAACATCAGATCTCCCCCATTTACATAGTCTAGAACAAAGAACAGTCTGCTTTCTGTCTGGAAGCAGGAATGCAGTCCAACTAGAAACGGACAATCAGATGCCTGCTGTAAAACGTGCTTCTCTGTCCATATCCGATCAGTGTGGACGAGCTCTTTTTTCACTGCTTTCATCGCATATATACGATCTGATTTTTTCAGTTGAACCAACAGTACTTTCCCATAACTTTCTCTATCACACGGAGCAAATCAAAATCTTGAAGACCTAAACCAAATGAAGCTTTGCTACTTTCCCTGGTGTTCCCTGCCTCATTCTCTTCATCAAGTTGTTCTAAAGCCTCATGAGTTGAAAGATTATGTGGGATCACTGTCTGTGCAGGGTCTGAAGCTATGCAAAGGAGAAGACACAGTATATGGGACTCCTTCCTCCTCCACCCAATCTATAGTGAAAAGCTGTTTATTGTCCAAACACCACACATCTCGATCTTTATCACACAGGCCCTCAAAGGAGCTGGGAGTCTCAAAAGACATTGTCATGATGTCTCTTCCCAAGCTCAGGACCGATCGGGTAGAGGTGTGGGCGGTGGAGGTGCCCGGGAAGAAGGGACCGTAGAGGGGTTGGCTGCCCAGGAAAACGGGCAGGAAGGGCTTGGTGAACGAGTGCGGCCTGACCGCCTGCACGGACCACACTGGCCGGAATTCCGCAAGGCGCTCTGTGGTGTGGTTTCCAATGGCGGCGGCCAGGCCTGGGTGGATGTACACCAGGCTTCCCAGTGTCTCTCGGGGGCAGGTGGCTGTGACTTCGCTCTCCCCCCTTGGACTTTGACTCTCTGGGTTTTCTGGGCCCGGCTCTGGGGAGACCTGCCCAGAGCTACTGGGTGTTTCTGGGCGTGGTGATACTTGCCCTGCGCTCTTCCCAGCTTCTGTGCCGGTGGTATTTGGGCTTAGGGAGACTTCCCTGGGGCGCCTTGACTTTGGTAGGTCACTGGTGGTCACTCCCGGGGAGACCTTCCCTGGGGTGTCTGTGACAGTCGTGTGGCTGCGGCAGTGCGGCCTGCGGCGTCTAGATGGAGTCAGCGGTCTTCTCAGTCTTTCACCGATACTTTCTCTGCCTGGGGTCCTGAGGCTGCGGCCTCGCGAAGTGGAGAAGCAGCTCAGCATGTTCGCTCTTAACCATCTCCAGCCAAGTGAGGTCGGGAGACGCTGCTACTGGATTGTGATGCCCGTTAGCAAGGGTTCCAAGTTCTGTTCGGACGCGTTGTTGAGGAAGTGAGGTCATGTCTTGGGGTTCTACAACCTGATTCTCTCCTCTGTTAAGAAGAACCTATGGCTAAATCAGTGGCCACTTATTTTTATCTAAGTATCTATGTATCTTTTTATCCAATATCACTTACTTAACTACTGTATTAGTTTTGCAGTACTAAGTCTTAAACCCTGCATCTTCACATTGAACTATATCCTCTGACATTTTTTTTTTTTCAGATACCACAAAGTGTGTTACTAGGTCACTACATTGATCAGGTTGGACTCCACCTCATGATCTTCTGCTTGCCTCCGCTGCCCAGATTGCTGATACTGTACTCAGACACCATCTTGCCTGATTAAGTGCATAATTTAGAAAGAGCAAAAAAAAAACAAAAACAAAAACAAAACCTAGGAAAGCTTTCTATAATATTAGGCATTGGTAACATTTTCACGTTTAAAGCAACATGTACACTGACACTGCATGTGGCAGGCACAGTGCTAAGGGGTCTTTTCCATACATAGGAGCCATTTGCTCTGAAGGTGTGGTGCTGGGTATTTATAATTACAGAGCTGTGAATTTTTAAAATACTTCTCTTTCTGGATTGATTATATCATTTTCAGTTAAATAAGGAGTACTAAAGCATTCCAGAAATTTCCACAAATAATTTTCCCTAAAAGGTAGACATGTTGGCTTCAAATTGTAACCTCTGGGGTGGTGGTGGGTCCATAATAGGTTGCAGCTTTGAGGTGCACATAAATTATTATTCCTTTTTAGCTAGCGAATTTAATGCCAGAGCACAATATCAGTAATGTAACACGGAGTGAGGCTGGACAGCATGTGGTAACCACATGACAGATAGTCTAGAAACCATCACCACAATGATGATGATGAACACAGTACAGTACTTTGACTCTCTCCTTCATCCACTTGCAATCACTTCCTTTCCTCCCATCCCAAGCAGCCCACGTACTTTGTGTTCCAAGTAGAGTTTGCAATTTCTAGATGCAGGAAAGCTGTGACTCTTCAGCATGCAGCTTTTTTGTTTTTTGCAGAGATTATTCCATCAGCATAACCCTGCTGGCTTTCCTGTGTGCTGTTGCTTGTCAGTGGTTGAGCCATCATCACATGCCATTGTGTGGATGAACCACGAATTGTTCATGTGTCCATCAGCTAATGGAAATTTGTGTTGCTTCCAGTTTTGACTCCCCTGTAGTGGGCTTTCACTGGGACCTGGCGATACTCACCTCTGCCTGTGACCCTGTGGATGTGCTGCGCTATCCCTCTGCAGGGCATCTCCCTACCCACCCCTTTATGGGGAAGCCACAGTGTGGGGGAAGGGATGTTGAGGAGGACCTTGGTGCCTGCCTGAGAGCTGCTGGCCACCTATTTGCCTCCCTGCTTTCTTGCCTCACCTACTAAGGCCAGGCAGCAGGAACTATGCGAGTCCTCCCACCAGCTGTGGTTGAAGCCACAGGCTTTCCCCCCACCACAAGTTATTTTAAAGGTTAAACATCATGATCCAATTCTTAAACTAGCTAGGAAGTTCATGATATTTATATGGTATTTTGCTTTACAATTCATATATAATATATATATTCACATACTATATATATTTGTTCATATTTACATGGTATTTTGCTTTACGATTCACATATAATATATATAATTTGTATTATATATTATATGTTATACATATAATTTATATTATATATTAAATATATTCACATACAATATATATACTTGTACCTACCACATATCATTTTTAATATTATATATTATATGTTATACATATAATTTATATTATATATTAAATATATTCACATACAATATATATACTTGTACCTACCACATATGTCATTTTTAAAAGCCAAAGAGATAAAATAAGTTTATAATGAACCTTCAAACTTGTACCACGAAAAACTGCATTGCTTTAATCTTTGCGCTTTTATGAAATTTCATCCTAAGGAATCACTGAAAAATGGCTCAGACAACTAATAATTTACCACAGTTAAAATTAACCAAGTGAAAGCAGTGATTATTCCTTCTTTTTTAATCTTTCTTTTTCATTTGGTGATAAGGTAGCAGTAGGGAGTAGAAAGGATGTAGCAGTGATGGTGAAGGTCCCACCACCTAGACTCCATGCAAACAAGGAGAAAACCAAACAGCATATTTAAATTAATCTTAAATCTATTATATATTAGGGTAAATTATAATTTTAAATAATTATACAGCATTTTAAAATCACACGCTACACATGGCAACTCAGAAAAATGAGTATGAAAATGTATTATAAGGTTTCTCTCTTCTTTAAATTACTGCAAACATAAAAATCTGTTTTTTTTTTCACTAGTGACCATTCACCTCCTCGATAAACAAAGCTGTTTTAGAATGTTCTATTTTCCTTAATGACAAGGAAAAAAACATGTTCTCCTTTTACTCTATTTCTCTATTTGTTCCTCTAATATTTAAATATCTCCAAGGAGGGAGAAATCACTGTATGGTTAGTGTTTAAAAGAGAGAGAAATTTCATAGATTTCTGAAAACATTTGCCAAGACTTACCACTGATGGTTACCCGACTAAATCCTATGATAATGTTTAGCTTTAAAAGCCAATCATATTAAATCCAATATGAACATAAACTAACTTACAGGTCCCTGTAAATGTTTTCCACCTAGAAAGAGAACACAATCTAATCAATTTAGTTTTTCCCTGCTCTTGGGGTCACAACCTAAGCCTCCACTGATCAGGAACTTCCTCACTCTGCCTCACTCTGTCCAGAAGCTTCTTCAGTTCCAGTCCTTTTCCCCGTTTTTTTAACCATTACTTAGTTTTTATTCCTAACCATAAACTTAAATCTGCAATACAGCTAGTTTGGAGGGGAGCAGGGGAAATATGGAACCCGAAGAACTGCAGTGAGAGCAGAGATGATGGGATGTTGGGAGCAGATGGGGCAGAGGGTGCTCTCCTGAGCTAGAGGAATGGTCTGGTGGTCGCCATACATGCAAGTCAAAAGCATTAGAGCCGTCCAGTCAGTGACGGTGATCTTCTTGCTGATCTTGCCATTCCCGGATCCGAAGCGCTCCATGGCTGCCACGATGTTCATGCCTTCTTTCTCCTTCCCAGACCCCACGTGCTTGCCATCCAACCACTCAGTCTTGGCAGTGCAGATGAAAAAGTGGGAGCCATTTGTGTACGGTCCAGCATTGGCCAGGACCTGTGCGCTTCAGGATGAAGTTCTCATCATCAAATTTCTCCCTGTAGATGGACTTGCCGCCTGTGCCATTGTAGCGTGTGAAGTCACCACCCCGACACATAAATCCTGGAATAATTCTGGGAAAGCAGAAAACCTTATAACCAAATCCTTTCTCTCCAGTGCTCAGAGCATGAAACTTTTCTGCTGTCTTTGGAACTTTGTCTGCAAACAGCTCGATGGAGACGATGTCAAAGAACACAGAGGGGTTGACCATGGTTGGCAGCAAACTACAGGGGGACAGCGGCGTCTGCAGACGTTTTTCTCATTTTTAACTTTCTTCTTAACAGCTATGTCTAGCTATAAATCCTTCCTTAATATCGAGCCCAGAAACCTTAGTGTTTCATACCAATGGCTTTGGTAACTTGGCGGTTGCCTTATACCCCCATCACATTTGTTCTTAAAATTTCCATCACAAATTAACCAAACATTTAACTTTACATCTTTTGCTTTTACTGTTTATCTTTACCAGCTGCTGCTCACACCCGATACTCCTTCAGGTATTAACTCCTAAATGCTACTAATGGTGAGATATTCAATAAATTAATCTCTTTAAGCTTTGTTATTTATAAATGAAAAAAATAACACAATACATAGAGTGCCTTGTAGGGATTGAGATTTGTAAAAGACTTAATTAGTATAGTTTCTGGTACATAAAAAATTATCATAATTATCACATATGATTATTAGTAGTTTCTTTCTCTAAGCAAATGGAAACCTATGTAGATTTCCTCCTTGGTTTCCATACTTTTCCATCTTCCCTGTAAACTTCTTTATGGGATTTTGTTCTTTGACCCATCCTTTAAGTAACACCATTTCTCCATTATTCTATCTGATGACTTATTATGATTTAGTGTTCCTATAAAAGTATGCGTCTTTTAAAATTATAAATAAACACCAGGAGAAACAAGTTAGTGATTGCCACAGATGGCAATATAGCTTTTTGTTTGTTTGTTTTGTTTTTTTGTTTGGTACCAAGGACTGAACTAGGGTCCTGGTGCTTGCAAGGCAGTCCACCGAACTGCTGGGTTAAATCCCCAGCCCCAACAATATATTGATGTGTCTTGCATTACTCCTTCTGTGTTCTCTGTAATAGGGTTTATATTTCCTCATAGAGAATTTCCTCCCCAGTAATCCTGTCTTCACAGAAAAAAACAATGACTGCATTATGTGTAATTTTCTACTCTTTAAAAAAGAATTTCTTAAAAAAAAAAACCTGTGTGCTGTACAGCTTTGGTTTTCTCAAACCCTTGTTCTTATATCAAATCTTTTAGATGCGAAAAAAAATGGCAACTTCTATTTTAAGGTTTCAAATCCCAGCAACAGGTACCTTTCAAGGATAAAACCTATTCCGTTTTCTTCTAAGTAGAAAGCAGTTAGAATCTGTCAGTCAAAGTACAAAACTTGCACAAGGGAAAAGCCTTGTAGAACATAAAGCTGCTCATTGACCTAAATCAAATGAAAAGGTGGATCTCTTACGCAGGGCCTTTTCCTAATGTGCTCTCTTCCCTGCCCTGGCTACAAGGAAACACAGGCTGAAAGAGACTCTGCACAGTAAGCTCCTGACCCACTGAGAAGGGACTCCATGAATGGCAGACCCACCCCGTCATGACTGCAGTGTAACCCTGCACATCTACATCCACCAGGGTAAGAGCCACAGGTCA